GGACAAACTTAAATTCAACGAATTAGTTCAGTCAAATTAATTTTTATGAGTATTTAGCACTTTCTTTTTCTTTCAAATTCACAGAACTGATATATTTTAAGTAAACTGAACTGTTTGACTGTTTTGAGTTTTATGAGATTATTTATTTTAATTTAGACGAACTTAAGTTTAACTGGGATATCTATTTCCCAGCATGCTTTGCCGATGGCACTCGAAAGAGAGTGTAAATGCTAAAATTAAGTGCAATACAATGTTTTTTTGTGTGTAAGATTAATGTTAAGAGTGAGATTTAATAGTGATTAATGTTTTGTTATGCTAATTTAGAAGATTTCTGTTAATGTTGGCTTTAGGATAGTTACCATCATGGTGACAAGTGGTGCATTCAGCTTGATCTGAGAGCAAATTATCCCTTTATATTATTACTTATTAAGTGCTTAAAACATACTGTTTCTATGGAATTAAGGAATTAATACACAATGACATATTGAATTAATAGCAATTTGTGTATTACTTAATCTATTAATCATATAAACTCTTTATTAGTTGCTGATGCAGTAATCATTAATCTAATGGTTTAGTTCTTCATTAGTTATACATTGATTCATGATTATCTGTGCATTAGTTAAGTATGAATTAATGCATATTAGTGCATCCATATTGTAAAGTGTTACCGAATTATCGGTTATCGGAGAAAATTTTCATATTGTTGAATCACTACTTTTAAATTCACTGTGTTGCTCGTTTGGTCAAGACTTTCGTTTTCTACCTGAACTGCTTCACTGAGTCCGAATGATTGTCTGTAATAATCGACGCACAGATGTTGACGACACAGCATACAATCATTTTGTCTTAGTATTTAGTTGTATTCAATAGCGAATATTTCTTTAACAAAGATGAACTGAATGAATTAGTCTAGCAGACAATATGCCGGGAAGAAGCAGCATATCTATTATTTACACTAAAATCAATGTACTATTAACAGCAAGAGACACATCAATAGAGTGTGTTCATCCACATTCAGCTTTAATATTACTCACTGCAAACAAATGATGTTCTTCCTCAGTAATTCTGCTTGTTTTTCAATACACATATCTTAAATTAAGATGCATTTACTGGAGAAGCAAATGACTTCAGGTCTTGTGTAGTAAAAACTGTTTATGCTTTAAAGCTGAACTAATATCTGCCAATGGTGTCAGAAAAAATATGTATTTTCCTGTTTTAACTCACTTAATTTTGATCATTAATATCTTTTAACATGTTTATTTCCAAGTAAATGTGTTCTGATTTAAGAATGTTCAGATATTGTTAATGTAAAACAAGACAAAAATACTGAGTTAGAAAACATTTTTTTTTTTTTTTTGCAATAATGTCAGTGAATTTGCTGTTATATTGATCCGTCGGACTGCACACGAAAACAATGCATTTTTAATGATTTTATTAAGTCTATTTATTTAACAAAGTCATGTAAATTATACATGTAGTATATTTTATATCAACATCAGCATGTAAGAAGCAAATTTGCACAATTTATGGACAAGTACAAATCCTTTAGCTTGATTTAAAGGAAATGAAATGGATCTCTCAGGTCAGCAGTCACTGAGAGGATAACAGGGATTACAGATCCAACGGCTCAATTATAGTGTAAAGTCTCTATTCTGATTCACTGTTTACAGAGCACGACTGCAGCAGGTTTCTGTAAATCCGACAAGTCAATTTCTGGCTCAACCAACAGCAAACTGTCATTAGATGTGCATAGGACTACCTGCGTATCCAAAGAGAAGCTACAGGAGTGTTTGGGGGGGGGGGTATGTAAATGTGTCTTTATGAGTGAGTTATTAAATCATTCACTCGAGCGATTCATTCAAAAACACTGATCCATTCAGGAAAGAAACGAGTAATGTTTTTTTAGGGGAGTTGTTGAATAATTCACTCAAGCGATTCATTCAAAAACACTGATTCATTCAAATAAGAAACAAGTAATGTCATTATAGGGGAGTCGTTGAATCATTCACTCAAGCGATTCATTCAAAAACACTGATTCATTCAGATAAGAAACGACTAATGTCATTATAGGGGAGTCGTTGAATCATTCACTCAAGCGATTCACTCAAAAACATTGATTCTTTCAGATAAGAAATGAGTAATGTCTTTATAGGGGAGTCGTTGAATCATTCACTCAAGCGATTCATTCAAAAACACTGATTCATTCAGATTAGAAACAAGTAATGCCTTTATAGGGGAGTCGTTGAATCATTCACTCAAGCGATTCATTCAAAAACACCGATTCATTCAGATAAGAAACGACTAATGTCATTATAGGGGAGTCGTTGAATCATTCACTCAAGCGATTCACTCAAAAACACTGATTTATTTAAATAAGAAACAAGTAATGTCATTATAGGGGAGTCGTTGAATCATTCACTCAAGCGATTCACTCAAAAACAATGATTTATTCAGATAAGAAACAAGTAATGTCTTTATAGGGGAGTCGTTGAATTATTCACTCAAGCGATTCATTCAAAAACACTGATTCATTCAGATAAGAAACGACTAATGTCATTATAGGGGAGTCGTTGAATCATTCACTCAAGCAATTCATTCAAAAACACTGATTCCTTCAGATAAGAAACGACTAATGTCATTATAGGGGAGTCGTTGAATCATTCACTCAAGCGATTCATTCAAAAACACCGATTCATTCAGATAAGAAACGACTAATGTCATTATAGGGGAGTCGTTGAATCATTCACTCAAGCGATTCACTCAAAAACACTGATTCATTCAAAAAAGAAACGACTAATGTCATTATAGGGGAGTCGTTGAATCATTCACTCAAGCGATTCACTCAAAAACACTGATTCATTCAAAAAAGAAACGACTAATGTCATTATAGGGGAGTCGTTGAATCATTCACTCAAGCGATTCACTCAAAAACACAATTCATTCAGATAAGAAACAAGTAATGTCTTTATAGGGGAGTCGTTGAATCATTCACTCAAACGAGTCATTCGAAAACACTGATTTATTTAAATAAGAAACAAGTAATGTCATTATAGGGGAGTCGTTGAATCATTCACTCGAGCGATTCATTCAAAAACACTGACTCATTCAGATAAGAAACGAGTAATGTCTTTATAGGGGAGTGAGTCGTTGAATCATTCACAAGCGATTCATTCAAAAACACTGATTCATTCAGGAAAGAAACAAGTAATGTCTTTATATGGGAGTCGTTGAATCATTCACAAGCGATTCAATCAAAAACGCTGATCCATTCATGAATGAAACACCACTAATGCACACGTTGAAATGCATTGATTCGGTTTTCGCTGTTTACCACATTAACTTATAGTAAAATTTAATAGAACATCTAAGCATTTGAAGATAGACCGAGGGAATCAGATTGAGACTCAAATGGTATGACTAATGCACAACTAAATTAAAAATGCCATGTTGCTTCACTTTTTCTCAGGATCATATCTCAAATGAACACATCATGCTTAACAACGAACCATGAATTTTATTAAATATACCTTTGGATGAAAGATCTTTTTAAAAAGGCCTGTAAACTTTTTACAGTCCATCTAGAAGGGGACCTTAAATGAACCGTTTCAGATTGACCCTGACCCAAGCGGCCCGAACACAAAGACACAGTCCAGAGCTCTAGATTAGGTCACACACTGATGAAGCGCTGGGCTCGTGTCTTTGCCCTTGGCTGTATTGAGCTAATGGAAGAACTGAAACGTCTTCCAAAACCTTCACTCTGTCTGTAGTGCTCTTAAAAAATACAAGCCCTGAGGAGATTCAATAGATATTGATGGATTCTTCTGATTGATATAAAAGAAAAGAGGCCTATTTTATTGCCAGATGTAACAAATTAGTTCTTTGTTGCTTCATGAAAGAAAAGCACAAGACTTTAGTGTATGTAAGGCCAACCAAAATAAAGACAGAGTCTGCCATCTTTTTAATACCTTTTTAGGAACCAGTTGATTTTTAAACTGATTTTTCTTAAAACATTTAAACAGTTTTTACTTAAAATATCTTGAATGTAACTCGACGCCCTTGTCTCATTTAGTATGCGCTGTTCTATGAATATGCAAATGAGCCCCGCCTCCACTCACTCAGCTCAGAGATCCACTGGTTGACGGTTACACGTTGATCTGATTGGTTACAAGGTCTTTTGTAATTATTAACAAAAGAATGACTTTTTTATGTTTAAAAGAAGTCTCGTGAAACTTTATTTCGATATTTCACTAACTATAAGTAAAGTTATGTCAACTAACTCTCAGAGTATTAGTAGAATAAGTTGACATGTAGTTGCTTATATAGTCAGAATTTATGTTCAAAATAAGCATCAAAATAAAGTGCGCGTTCGTGACTCTCCTGTTCGAACTCGTTCATTAAAAAGAACAAATCTTTTACTGAATCAATTCGTTCATTTTGTTTGTTGAATGAACCAAATGACACAAAAAAGATTCGAACAGGAGAGCAAGGTGAGCATTTGTGCTTATAAAACTTAAATGAGCGATCGTTTCGCTTGATAAGACCCTTATTCATCGTCTGGTGTCGTTGAACAGTTTGTAGTTTGCACTGAAACTCTCATTTGGACCTTGAACCGTTTGGTCCCCATTGAAGTCCATTATATGGAGAAAATCCTGGAATGTTTTCATCAAAAACCTTAATTTCTTTTCGACTGAAGAAAGAAAGACATGGACATCTTGGATGACACGGGGGCGAGTAAATTATCAGCAAAAGTGTTTTCAAAAGTGAACTACTCCTTTAAGCGGACAGAATATACGGAGTTAGTTGACAGGGTTGTAACATTATAGTTAGTAGAATATCGATATGAAATGTTCTTATACTCATCAAGGCTGCATTTAATTGACCAAAGAAATACAGTAAAAACAGTAGTGAAATTAAATAGGAGAGACCGTAATCATTCCAACCTTTTGACAGGTAGTATATATGCATTAATGCATGTATATTTGATATTCTCTACTCACCCTAAAGTCTATGCCAACTGTTGAGATGAAGCTCCCAGCCAGAAATGCTCCATCTTTAAAGCGAACCAACAGACAGGTTTTCCCCACGCCGGAGTCACCGACCAGCATTACCTGGAGAAAACATGCAACATATCCCATCATCCCTCTCTCTTATTCTGTTAAGAGACAAACATCCTCTCATCACTGTAAAAAATATTTTCAAGATTTGTTATCACAACATTTTTTCTTTTGTCAAATCAACTTAAATCCTTTATTTAGTTGAGATAACTTGTTATTTTCAGTTTCCGATGATTAAATCATTCTCCTTCATTGTATTAACTCACTTTTTCCAGTTCAATCAACTTAAAATTGTATGGCAACCAGGTTACTTCATTTTTTAAGTTAAACCAACGATATTTCTTTTACAGTGTATATATATATATAAATGCACGCATATGCATGTATATATTTAAGGAAAATGTGTTATTAATATATCAAACATGCATATTTATGTATAATATTAATGTTGTATAAATACTTTGTATATATAAAATATATACATGCAAATCACTGAATATTTTCATGATTTGCAATCACAACATTTTTTCTTTTGTCAGATCAACTTAAATCCTTTATTTAGTTGAGATAACTTATTATTTTGAGTTTCTGATGATTAAATCAATCTCTTTCATTGTATTAACTCACTTTTTCCAGTTCAATCAACTTAAAATTTTATGGCAACCAGGTTACTTACTTTTTTTTAAGTTAAACCAACAATAATTTTTTACAGTGTGTCAATCAAACCCTGTCTGTTTCCCCGCAGCTCTTTCACGGTCGTACAGATTAAAGACGGGAATACCGTAGTGGGAAGGAGAGGTTTGCTTGCGGAGAGATGAGATTAGATCAAAACTACACCAAAACTACACGTTCACAGGCTATCTCCCCAAACGAATGGATTTTGCTTTGTTAAAGATATAAAACATTCAGTTTTGACTTTCCTGAACTTCACTATTCCCTTCAGACCTGTTCAAAGTTAAAGCTCACTTCAAATTTTAAAGTATATTTCTTTAAAGAAAACTACTTGCACATAATATAACATTAATTAAATAAAAGGTCACTTAAAGAGAATACACTTTCATGACGCTTTTAAAAGTGCATGCACATTTTTAAAGTATTTTAAATCACGTTTTGTCATGATTTAAAGAAATACAAAATGTGTTGACTAAAGCACATAATAACTAGTGTGTTATTTGATTTTACATTTAAAGTTAACATGTTTTAAATTGCAACATCATTACAAATACATACATGCATACATGACAAGTTCAAACAGAAGTGGCATTAAAGTATATTTTCAGTTTTATTTACAAATGTGTGTCGGAACACTTTAACCATATTTCAAAGACAATAGAATTAATTATGAAAAGATTTACTTAAAGGAGTAGTTCATTTAAAAAAAAAAAAAAACTTGTGCTGATAATTTACTCGCCCCCATATCATCCAAGATGTCCATGTCTTTCTTTCTTCAGTCGAAAAGAAATGAAGGTTTTTGATGAAAACATTCCAGGATTTTCTCCATATAATGGACTTCAATGGGAACCAAACGGTTCAAGGTTCAAAAACACAGTTTCAGTGCAAACTACAAACTGTTCAAAGGGCTTTAAACGACTCCAGACGATGAATAAGGGTCTTATATAGCGAAACGGTCATTTAAAAAAAAAAAAAAAAAAATGAACGAATCTTCAATTCAATTCGTTTGTTTGTTTCGTTCATTGAATGAACCAAATGACTCAGAAAAAGAACAGGAGAGTCACACAGAGCAAGGCGAGCATTTGAGCTTATAAAACTTAAACTTTTTTTATTTTTTAAATGACCGCTCGTTTCGCTTGATAAGAGCCTTATTCATCGTCTGGAATCGTTTAAAGCCCTTTGAACAGTTTGTAGTTTGCACTGAAACTCTCTTTTGGACCTTGAACCGTTTGGACCCCATTGAAGTCCATTATATGGAGAAAAATGCTGGAATGTTTTCATCAAAAACCTTAATTTCTTTTCGATCTTATCTTGGATGACATGGGGGTGAGTAAATTATCAGCAAAAGTTTTTTTTTAAAAGTGAACAACTCCTTTAAGTCCCACTTAAGCGAGTCAAAAAAGCACTCTTAAGTTCAACTCATTGCATTTTATATCAATTTAAACTTTAATACATGTTAATTTAATTGTAAATAGCATGCAATTAAGTGTCTGAAAACATTGCATTTAGCTCACACTTAAGTGTATTATTTCCATAATAAGTAATATTTAATTAACTTTATTTCTTTTGAAGGATCATCAAAGGATGAAGCTTCTTAAATGATCATTTTTCACGAACAGCATTGGTTTATTTCATGGACTGTAAAAACAGGTTTAGTAATATTTACATTAATGGTAAACGATATGCAGGAGTTTGGGTTCTTCACTCATGACGTTCCAGATTGCATTTGATGAATAAGCAAGACTATATATAGGATTGATCATCAGGGAATGATTATATAAATGCATTATTCACCAGATCAGAACCCCGAAGTCACTTCAACATTTAAGCCTAAATATGTCAAGATGAGAACCGGAGAAAGCCGAAGCGGTCCGTGTGAACGCTCGCCTCAGTCCAGCTGGATAACTCAGTTTCTGTGCTCTGCTTATCTGTATTGACACAGCTGTTCAATTAGAGCTCGACTCAGTCAAACAGAGCAACATCCTCATCCGTGTGGGACAGCTGGATAGCGTTTCATTGTTTTTAATTGCCGTGGCATAAATAAGCTCATTGCATAAATCTCCACACAATCATTTGAGCTGAAATAAACATTTTATAACACAGCAGCCATGTTCATGCAGGCAAAATATTTACACTCACATATGCATGCACATGTATGGCAAGCCATTTTAACACTTTATTGGCCTTATATATTTATGGGGGGGGGAAAACTATTGAACAAAGAAAAACATTTTTTGTTGTTGAGTATCATATGTGCTACATCATAGCTCATATAGTCTGATTTAGTGAGAATATGGAGGAAAAAACACTCAATTTTATTCAGGGACTCAATTTCTATGGGAAAAAAGTGATGAAATTCTGAAGCTTGTAATCTAAATCAATGAGATCTTTATAACAGTAAAGCAGATACTGACATAAAATGCATTCAAAAATGTATGTCAGACAGCCAATAATATGTCTTAGTAAGATATTTAAATGCTTAGTTTATGATCAAAGGTGTGTAGTTTTATAACATAACGCAATGCAATACAATGTTTGAGAGATGCACAAATTAAGCCTGATGATCATATTCGACACCCATTTTTATAATAAATGATGCATTATGCAAACATGAATCTTCAAGCAGCTTCCGTCCAGTAAACGTTTTCTTGAGATATTACAAAGGTTATACGTATGTTTACTTCAACAAAATTTAGGATTAAATGGGGATGAGGATTAGGAAAAATTAGGTGAAATATGGTGCGAAAGTTCTTTTTTTCAGTAATTCATATTATGTAGACTAATTACATGCAAAGTGAGATATTTCAAGCCTTTATTTGTTATAATTGTGATGATTATGGATTACAGATATGAAAACCTTTTCACAATATTAATGTTGAATTTGGGGTTTTCATAAACTGTAAGCCATAAACATCAAAATTATAACAAATAAATGCTTGAAATATCTCACTTTGCAAGTAATTTATATATATAGTTTCACCTTTTAAATTGAATTATTGAAATAAATGAACTTTTGCATGAAATTCTAATTTTGAGTTTCAATAGAATTGGAAGGGCTAGTGAAATTCAAATATAGGCAAGGGACTGAAATTAGTAGTAAATATAAAAATATATAAAAATGTTACTAGTAGCCTACCCTAATATAAAAAAATAAAAAAATAAAAAATAAAAATAGTATAAATGTGTAAGCGGCTTGCCATACTGCATGGTGTTCGCGTTGTTGAAACGAGCTCGTGTACCTTGAAGGCGATGTCGTAGAACTCTCCACTGTTGCTGAGAGAGGGTCTGCTGGGATAAACCACTCCGTTGGACTGGGTCAGGACTTTCTTCCCCTTCTCTTTATCGCTGATGGGAGATGAGCTCGGAGAATTTGAACTCCCCTTTCCTTTCACCGCTTTTTTCCTCGACATTATTATTCTAAGAATTATTCCCCGTGTGAACGTACGACGAGTAATTTATAAAAGCACGCTCTAGGTCACTTTTCCCGATGTGTAGCCTATGTCTCAGCAAGCGTGAATGAACTTTTCAGGAATAAGCGTGCGCATGGCTTCGGGTTTGCGTCAAATAATGAGTGCGCGCGCCGCGCAGTGCACCTGCTCCAAAAATGTGCAAAGAAAACACGTCTCAGCCTCCTCAATGCACTTGTGCTGCTGATGCTCCGTCTGTGTGAAAGGGGAAATTCACCTCACTCCTTTAAGCAGAGTAGTAGTGCACGCGCGTTGACAACAGTCAGTGAAGCGCGCGCGCGCGCGCGAGCACTCAGTCTCTCCACTTGCGTGAATACAAAACCCTCTTAAAGGCGCAGTCTTATTTTGAACGTACATCAGGATTAGTTTTAGCTAGGAGGAGGGATTGACAAAAAATGAACTCAAAGATATGAGCAAGAATAAAAAAAATATATTTTTTTAAAAAAAAACAGCTTATAGGCCACTAATAATTACAACATTTTACAAGCCTTAGATTAATATGGAAGCTTGTTTGTGTCATTTAGTTATTCTTTATTTTGTCATTGTTATAAATAACAACGAAATAACATCAGAGAATCCTATAATATAAGTGCAAACTTTGTACCAGACAACAGAGACAGAGTAATTATTGTCCATAAATTGAAGCCTCTCATTAAGACACCAGAACTAGATCCAAATGAATAGCACTGACCCATTTCAAATCTTCCATTTATGTCTAAAATACTAAAAGCAAGTCATGTGATGATATCTATTTAAAAAAAAGATTTATTCTGGATTCAGGCCCTAACATAGCACAGAATCTGCGCTTGTTAAAATTACTAAAGACTTCTGGCTGTATCTCAATACTACAGTAGTTTTACTTGATCTTAGTGCTGCGTTCGACACTATAGATCATAAAATACTCTTAGATCAACTACAAAATTACACTGGTAATCAGGGACAGGCATTAAGGTGGTTTAGATCGTACTGTATTTTGACTATTTAAACATGGAAAAATACGAGATAATGTCAGTAAAGTATGGCGTGACACAAGGCTCTGTATTCGGCCCTCTGCTATTCTTAACACTGGCACTCGGTCACATTATAAGAAAACATGGGATTAGTTTCCAGCTATCTCGAAAATTATCCAACTTGACAGTGTGTGTGTTCAAATATATAAAATATTGGATGACCTGTAATTTTCTTCTGTTAAATTCAGATATGAATGAGGTACTTATTGGACCAAAACCCACACACAGAATCTTGCGTTTAGAAGGATGTACTGTACGACCTGGGCGTTATATTAGACAACGTGTTCTTCAAAAATCATAATTCACATGTTATGTTATATGTTATTTTGTTTGTGTGTGTGCACTATCAGTTTCTGATGCAGAAGAGTTAGACTACATCACACTGTAATGCATTACTAGCCGGCTGTCCTACGATTAGTCCAGAAGTCTTAAACATGATCATATAACAACAATTTTATCATCTCTATCCAAGTTACCTATTAACTTCCGTATCAATTACTATACTGACCTACAAGTATTTTCTGAAGTTGTCTCATTTTTCAGACTAAAGCAATAGTACATTATGCTACTATTAATGTGAGAGTAACCAGATAAAAATAACAAGATATTTATGATGCAACAACATCTTGGCTGGAATTTGCTGTAAATTGGACCCGACTTAATGCAGACAGTCAAAAGTCTGTGACTCATGTGTGGAAAATATAACTCACAGAGCCTTACATAATTTTCATATAAAGCCACTAGTGACTCACATGACTAAAAAAAACCCTCGATTGTAATAAGACATATTCCTTAAAAAATCTGCTTCTGTCATAAAGTTGACTCAAAGTCTATCCCACAAAGGGCATTTTCAGCCACACCTGTCACTCGGATCAGTTGCTATAGTTACTGTACGTTGTAATTGATTTCCCGTCAGTCTAAGATATGAAACTTCACCTACAGGTACCAGCATCTCTGTCACTTCCCAGTGTAATTACTGGTCCTGAGCCCTTCACCGCTAATAAAGCACCCGTCCAGTGGATTTAACGGCTCAGCCCACTGGGATAATGAGCAGAAACACACGCTGATTAGTTTAGAGCTCTGTCTGTCTCCATCGCTGGATCATTATCACTCTCTGCGCTTCACACCCATCCAGAAAAGATGCTGTACCTGCTTCAGGAGGATTGTGTTATATTATATAACACTATATATTTAAATAGCAGTTGTTCTTCCATATAGTATCCATTTCCTAATCTAGATCTAGAAAGGATGCAGCGCTCTTCAGGAGAGTTTTGTTATGTCATATGTTATGTCATGTTATGTATTGTCATGTCGTGTCATGTTAAGTCATGTTATGTTATGTCATGTTATATGTTATGTCATGTTATATGTTATGTCATGTTATATGTAATGTTATATGTTATGTCATGTTATATGTTGTCATGTTATATGTTATGTCATGTTATATGTAATGTTATATGTTATGTCATGTTATATGTTGTCATGTTATATGTAATGTTATATGTTATGTCATGTCATGTTATATATTGTCATGTTATATGTTATGTTATGTCATATGTTATGTCATGTCATGTTATATGTTGTGTTATGTCATTATGTCATGTCATGTTACATGTTGTCATGTTATATGTTTATGGCAAGCCGTTTTAGCTTTGATTCATTTCCAGGATATGCATTGTTGATATCAAGAATTACATTATTTGATATCAACAATTAAATTCTTGATATCAACAATTGTATTTTCACTAGTGAAATGTCACCATAGGCTGCCATTCAAAATGAATTGTTGATATCAAGAATTGATTTTTTTAATAGTAGAAATATAATTTTTGATATCAATAATTCCATTGTTACTTGTAAAAATGTGAATTCCTGATATCAATAATTAAATTGTCACTAGTTGAAATGTCTATTCTTGATATCAACAATTCAATTGTAATAGTAAAAATGATCATTTTTGATATCTGAAAATGTATTTCTGATATCAATAATATTTCAGATATCTAAAATGACTTTCTTACTAGTAACAATCACATTCATGATATCAGAAATTAACATTGTCACAAGTAAAAATTGAATTATTGATATCAAAAATGAACATTGTTACTAGTAATTCAATTGTGCATATCAAGAATAGACATTTCAACTAGTAACAATTGAATTCTTATATCAAAAATAAAGGTTTTTACTAGTAATAATTGTATTTCTGATATGTGAAATTGGTATTTCAACTAGTAAGAAATCAATTATTGATATCAACAATTGGTTTTGAATGGCAGCCTATGGTGACATTTCACTATTGAAAATACAATTGTAGATATCAAGAATTCATATCCTAGAAATGAATAAAAGGTAAAACGGCTTGCCATAGTCAAGTGTTGTCATGTGTTATGTTGTTATATTGGGTATTGTGTTACATTATGTTGTGTTTTGTTATGTTACGTTATTTTATGTTGTGTGTGATATGTTGTGTCGTCATGTATTGTTATGTTGTGTCTTATCTTATGTAATGGCATGTAATGTTATATGTGTAATGTGTTATGTCATGTATTATGTTGTTCTTCCATATCCATATATTCTAATCTAGATCAGAAAGGATGCAGACAGTTTCAACTGAAGAGGATTACGTTACGTTACATATTATATATTTAAAGTCCTATTGTTTTTACATGTTTTATTCATATCTGCTGGAAATGGGCACTTTAAAGCTGTCTCTTCAAATGCATTACTAGTTTGATAAATAAATCAATACATTTTGATAAAACAAAAACTTTTGCAGTTCTGTGTAACAGAAAAATGAAAGGAGTAATACACTGAAATTTGAACCGTAAATTTTGTTAATTTAGTATAATTTATTTGAAAGTACAATAAAATATAGTCTATAATAATTAAAGTTCATATTATAGTATAAATTATTAATGCAATAAAATATCCACACATTTAATCCTGATCCGTATATTCGGACTTTTCTCAGCAAATATTGACACATTATTTTTTAGATTATTTTACACTATTCATTTGTTTACCAATTTGATGTCTTTGAAAAGTGCTGCTCTTTTCTCAGCACCGATGATGTCTGTCAGCGCACTTTCATTTATGTTTCCACGTATATTGTCTATTTTCGGTCTGTGCGCACTTCTATTTTTACACTCCTCTTTTTAAGTTTGTTTTATCCACTACCTCAAAGCAACACACACATAAAGTGTGTGTATGTATATTCAGTGTGTACTCACTGTACATTGACTCCTTTACACATTTCATAAGCTCTTCCTGAGGTCTCAGCTGGTTTGCATTATTTTATTTAATGTTCAACATTACCATCGCATGTACAATATCATATTAATATCAGTCTCTAATGTGAAGTAATGCTGGAGAAACCAAAATGCAAATCATTACCATGTTCATTCATATTTAATGAGTATACCGCTGGAGGCTGTTAACAAGATGGCTGTAACGAGAGCATCTAAATGCATGGACGGAAATCACAATGGACATTTACAAATTAGAGAACACAACAGCATTTTTAAATCATAAACTGAAATAATTTGCTTTGTGCTGGGAAAAATGGACCAACATCTCAAAAGACTTGATTTTATTAAAGACTACCCCCTAATATGTACATAGTTCTTCTTTATTTGTCAAAAAACAAACAAAAAATGTTTACATTTCTGATGAGTACGGCAAACACGACTGTATTGAGTATGTATGGGCATATTTTTGTATGTTGTGTGCGTATGTTTTTGATATGAAGATATTTGATATATATCTTCTGACTGAAGAGTAATGTTTACCTGAGAAAACGTAAAAACATACAAACAGTTCATCTTTGGCACCGTTTTATCAAGCCCAGTACGCTAAAAAAAAATGCTGGGTTGTTTTAACCCAATTTTGGGTCAAATATGGAAAAACCCAGCCGTTGGGTTACATTTTTTAACCCAACGTTTGGGTTTGTCCGCATATTTGACCCAAAACTGGGTTAAAAAAACACAGCATTTCTTTAGAGATGACATACTTCAGTGTGTGACATACAAAAAAGTCGTGTGTGTGAAGGCGGTTTACTCAGAGTCCGGTAGAGGCCAGTTCCTGGACTGGAAGTAGTTCCTGAGGCCGTCCAGGCTGACGGGGGGGAAGTAAGGTCCGATACGCTTCCGGATCCACCATTTCCCCTGAGCGGCGCTGATACTGCCGGGACGTGTGAATTTATAGCGAAAATGCTCTCCTCGAACCCACCTGAAATACAAAGTGCCTCAACTTGTGTATTTGCATCTTTTAGCTCATTAAATTCACCATAAATCAAGAGAACAAACACTCCATCAGAGACTATGACTCGCTTTATAAAATGTGGAATCCTGAGACAATATATATTTTTACACAGGCTTATTTTAATAGCTAATGCGATTTTTTTAGTCCTGCCTTCAAACATGTTGTGTTTTTTATTGGAAAATGAATTTCTTAGGTTTATTTTTAATTATGTTTTACTGTAGCACTTTGAGATTTAGTGTCAAATGTAAAGTGCTTTAAAAATAAAATGTATTATTATTATTATTATTAGTATTATCAGTGTTGGGTAAGTTACTCTAAAAAAGTAATTAATTACTAGTTACTAATTACCTTTTCAACAGTGTAATTAGATTACTGTACTAATTACTCTCTCTAAAAAGTATTTCATTACTTTTAATTACTAATTACTTTCAAAATCCCATATCTCATATCGCTGATGCGATTTTTTAGTCCTGCCTTCTAACATGTTGTGTTTTTTATTGTAAACTGTATTTCTTAGGTTTATTTTTAATTATGTTTTACTGTAGCACTTTCAGATTTAGTGTCAAATGTAAAGTGCTTTAAAAATAAAATGTATTATTATTATTATTATTATCAATGTTGAGTAAGTTACTCTAAAAAAGTAATTTTTACTAATTACCTCTTCAACAGTGTAATTAGATTACTGGACTGATTACCCTCTCTAAAAAGTATTTAATTACTTTTAATTACTAATTACTTTCAAAATCCCATATCAATCTCAACCAGCCGAATAATACAAGGATAGACATGAATCTGTTTTAATTCTTTTAAATAAATACTATAAAATTGCATGAATTATCCTTTCTTACTTGTTCAGATGACATTTTAGGGTGAAAATTATTATGTTGGTCATACTTCCAAAAAGTATAATCTGTGATCGCGAATGCCAGTATCCACAGCGGCGGCTGACAGACACACACCTTTCTCAAAACATCGTGTTCATCCACGCTGTGCCACACCGAGGCACAACTCACGTAAAGTCGATAATTCCATGAATAAGTGCAATTGCAGATTTCGAACAGAGATGGCGACAAAGAGGGAAAACTGCGGACTGCAGCTTTAATAACTATATTTATATTATTATTATTATTATTTTATATGTACAGTGGCGTATCTGATGCTTAGTGTACTTATACTTCTTGAATTGAACTTTACCGGGGTTTCTCTCTGTCCTGGAATGGATTGTGCGCCATTAGGGAAAGAATCGTGGAGTCGTTTGCCAACAGTCGACCTGCGATGTGAATCACCCACTCGCTCTGCTCGTACGTCTGGAAGAGAGAAACCAGAGCCGTTCAAACAAACACCCGTCACCGTACAGTGTACAGTAGGAGATGGCCACCATTATAAGCGGCCATGCAGCAGTTCAAAGGTCGCTTTGGATAAAGGCGTCTGATAAATGACTAAATGAAATAACGACACGTTCGCTTAACGATCACTGCAGGGAAAAACGCCTGTTTGTAATGCCCACTTAAAAACAGCGACTCAGAAGATTGATGACCTCATTTGTCTGTGCAGCTCAATTCTTATTGGTGTGTGTGTGTGTCTGTGAGTGAGTGTGTGTTACACGAGAATAATAAAAAATCTGAATGCTTTCTATTGACCAGTTCAATTAAATTAAAATAGTAAAATTCATCTTCTGCTGAAGAAATTATTAAAAGAAATTGACAGCAGTGATTTGATTCAAAATGACAAACAACATTCATACATCCACATTAGAAATAACATACAATAAAATTGAAATTTTTTTGGTTTGGAAACCGGCAAACATGAATGCACTCTTCTCTATATGTATTCATGTTGGTTTCATACTGTACAAACTTTTATACCTTTTTAGAAAACGGTGTTTAATTTGGTGTACCAAGTAAAAAGTACATATCTACGCAGTCATATGTGCACAGTTTTTAAATATATATATATATTTTTTTACAGATATCATGATTTATTCATTCATAAATATTCTTACATTTGTAGGGAGTCGCACCACATGACATTTTACACCCCGAACTAACATTTATAAATCATCAGAAAGAAAGTCTGAATGAATTTTAGAGCAGAAACTACATGTATAGTATGTAGAGTATATATATATAAACTGCATTTTTAATGTAGCTTTGACATCGATTTCCAGATGCTTAGAAACCCGAGTGCGTTTATTAACCTCCAAAACAACTTATATAATGTAAATAATGTCAAGCACGTAGTTCACACATTTTGATTACCACGATAACCTCTGTGTGTTTATGTTTTCCCCCATCGCTGTTCTGTGTGTCGTGGAACGAGCAGAACTGAAATATTAAACATTTAGAGTTTATGTATAGCATTTAAAAGGGTTTAAAGAAACATAATATTCAGTAATATTTTCAATATGACTGACACTATCAGATAAGAACTGATTCAGTTGATCTGAATAATAAGTCTGCATTATCGATTCTGTAATTTGAGTATTTTATTCAAATTAATATTATCTGTATTTTACATTCTTTCTGTAAATGTAATAATAACCAATTTCGACCCACCCGGTGCAATTTTTTAGAAAATAACATATGGTACATCTCCTCTTCCTCTTTAAAGTCGTCATGAAAGTGAAGTTGCGCTGGTCTTTTCTCCTCTATTGTGTCGTATGACGAGAGAAACGCTTCTGGAACAAGAACAAATGTGGGCGGGGCTTGATTTTGTCTGTGTGGATTGATTGGATGATTGGTGGATCTCATGTGAGTGACAGGTGACAGGCTCCGCCCACATCATCAGAGAACAGAAGAGATGCTGCAAGAGGAACTCAAGATTAGCAGGAAAATTACTTTTAAAGGGGTCCTATTATACTTTTTCACATTTTCAGCTTTCTTTAGTGTTCTTTAATTACAAAGCACAAAGTCCCTCCAGCGAGAGTTCTTCTCTATGTGAGCGTCAGTGTTTATGAACTCCTGAAACGCCTCCATTGTAGTCTGGGAACGAACACGTCACAATATTCCTCATTATAATAATTCATGCGCTGAATAAAGGGGCGGGGCTTGGTTGAGTTCGTTTGTAGTGTGTTAACTGGCGTTATGGTAATTAGGGGCGGGACATTTCCCAAAAACACACAATCACAACACACTACTCCAGCCGACCAATCAGAGCGCAGTGTGTTTTTCAGGAGGAGGGGCTTCATAGAGACAGGAAGTAAACAGAGCGTTCCTGACAGACTGGGGCGAGAGGAGCCGCAACAATGGAGAATATGAGGAGAATAATCAACATTCAAGCAGGAAAACAACATTAGAATTGAACCTGTAAAGCAGCGAACCACATGAGCCAGTCCAGTCGGTAGTGATACGGTGAGATGAGGCACGGTCTTCGATCCAGAGCTCCAGGTTTGCACAGGAACTCGTACTCTTCCCAGATCACGTCCTCTCCGGTGTGGTTTACGCTCATCGTTCCCTGAAACACCACCTCCGTTCGCTCCTTCGTGATGCTGAGAGAGAGAGAGAGAGAGAGAGTTACTGACACAGATTCAGTTCAATCAGAGATCTCCACTTCAACAAACTCACTAACTACAAAACTTTACAGCCATGACTGAAGTAGAGCAGATAAATTATTCTAATTTGTTACACTGTTAATTTGTACATTTAAATTTAACGTTATAATTTATATGTTTTAAAATTATAATGTTATGTTTATTATTTTGATGTCTTTATAATTATTCTATAATTTCCAAGCTTTGGCAATATTATAAATATGTACAGTCATGCCAATGAAGCAATTCTGAATTGAATTGGATTGAGGGTTAGAAGTGCAACGGCTCTGCCATCTGCTGGTTACTGATGAGGTTTATATTAAAGGAGTAGTTCACTTTTCAAAAAACTTTAGCTGATAATTTACTCGCCCCCATGTCATCCAAGATGTCCACGTCTTTCTTTCTTCAGTCGAAACAAAATTAAGGTTTTTGATGAAAACATTCCAGGATTTTCTCCATATAATGGACTTCAATGGGGTCCAAACGGTTCAAGGTCCAAAAGACAGTTTCAGTGCAAACTACAAACTGTTCAAAGGGCTTTAAACGATTCCAGACGATGAATAAGGGTCTTATCAAGCGAAACGATCGCTCATTTAATAAATAAATAACAAAGTTTAAGTTTTATAAGCTCAAATGCTCGCCTTGCTCTGTTCTGTGATGCGCGTTCGTGACTCTCCTGTTCGAACTCGTTCATCAAAATGAACAAATCTTTTTGTATCGTTTTGTTCGTTGAATGAACCAAATGACTCGGAAAAAGATTTGTTCATTTTGATGAACGAGTTCGAACAGGAGAGTCACGAACGTGCATCACAGAACAGAGCAAGGCGAGGATTTGAGCTTATAAAACTTAAACTTTGTTATTTATTTTTAAATGAGCGATCGTTTCGCTTGAGCTTCCCAGTTCCTGCGGTGAGAACGCGCCAAAATCCGGTTACTTCCGCCAATTTAAGAAAACATGCTGAGTTACCCATACCGTATTTTCCGGACTATAAGTCGCATTTTTTTCATAGTTTGGCTGGTCCTGCGACTTATACTCCGGTGCAACTTATATATCAAAATGAATTTAGACTCAGATGAACCAAGAGAAAGCATTAGCATCTCCAGCCGCCAGAGGGCGCTCTTGTTCAGATGCTGAATAACTCGATGGATTCAGTGATGTGGAATGAGATCGCGGGCGCTCGGTGAACTTGCTTGTTGGACTCGCTGCTTATGTTAATTCATCCTCCCGGGTGTTCCTTATGCTATCGTGCAGCTGAATAACCGTTAATGTGTTACGGTAACACACCGGAAACCTATTGCGCCTGTTGTTCTGTGTATTGTAGTTGAGTAACTTGCTTTTCCAGATTAAATGTCTGTTCTTGGATTTTGTGAAATAAACTTCTAAATAAATGCGACTTATATGTGTTTTTTTCCTCTTTATGATGAATTTTTTGACTGATCACTCCGGAGTGACTAATAGTGTAGAAAATACAGCACTCGTTTCTCTGAACAGCTACAGCCAGTTATTTTACTTTAAATTGCGTGTTCAGTGTGGGAATGTGTGTTGTTGTTTTGCTCTATGTGACTCCGCCCTCTGCCAGTTCATCCAATAGTATTTCTACACCGTGATGCCAGTTTGCAGGAAAACAAAACAAACTGGCTCAGAGATCGCAGATTCTACCCAAACGGTATCCATCTAAACACTCAGTGATGATCGTTTTATCATTTTTGTAGTATAAAACACCATAAAACCGACGAGAGTTTCAAATCTTCCAATGTTTCTCTATGGCATTGAAACCTAAAGATTTAATTTATTTATATAGCGCTTTTCACAATACAGAAAGTAGTACAACACAGATCAATAATATGTGTAAAGATGTCCGAGTTACCCGTGCAAATGATACTACACTGCCATTGGCTGATCTGTGTTCGAGGGGAGGGGCTTACTGATAGGTCAAACAACCATCTCCGCTATTTTGAATTTGAACTGCAGTACCGGTTTCGACCACTAGCTGTCGATATTACAGACTGCACCTTTAAAGGGTACCTATTATGGATTTTTGAAAATTGGCCTTCATGTAGTGTTTAACATAGATCTAAGTGAACGAAAACATCCTGCAAAGTTTTAAACATGAAAGTTCATCGTATACAAAGTTATTGTCTCTCAAAAGTAAGAGTCGACTCTGAGTCGCTGATATGAATCGTTCGAAGAACGATGCTTTTCCTTTGTCTAGTTGACGTCAACTTGACAAGTTATTTGAATAAGAAACGCCCACTTATTGCGCTCGGAGACGCCAGCATATATACAAGTATACCACACAAGTATAGCCCAAACCTTGTTCTGTGTTGGCGTCATTTTGAAGATGATTGCTTCACAAACCTAAACGCTATAAAGTATGGATTCGCGAGCCGGCTCTAACGAGCTGAGGATCTGAATCGGGTGTGTTAAATAAGGGAGACATACACAATATGCAGAGCAGTGGGTCGCGAGGCCTGGAGTTGAGAACCCATTTAAGGTGATAGGCGTTCCGTTTTCGACAATCTCTGCACAGAGAATACCAATCACAACTGACTAGGTCATCTGACCAATCACCGCAGATTAGCGTCACGCAAAGGCGGGTTTTGGAAAAAGGACTCACTAAACGATTTATATGGGAGTCGGTGAGCAAATCAGGTAAAAATAAATGCATATTATAAGACAACAAAAGTGTTTTTTGTCATTGCATGCTTGTAAAACTGTTGTTGGGGACTCCCAGAACAATATCAGGAACATTTTAAATGCCATAATAGGTGCCCTTTAAGCTCAGGCAGACACGGATGCGGTACCTGCCGAAGGCTCCGTACGTGTTGACGATCCTCAGCGGGTCAAACGAGGTGTTCATCACCTGTCTGGAGCTCAGCAGGTTCATCACCACCGGGACACTCAGATACGCTATCAGGAGACCCACAGACACGTTCAGCACACGTCTGATCAACACACCTGAGACGAGAGAGAAAGAGAGTTCAATTGATCAAAAGTGGCAGTAAAGACATTTATATTGTTACAAAATATTCTGTTTCAAATTAATGCTGTTCTTTTGAGCTTTCTGTTCATCAAAGAATCCTGGAAAATAAAATGTATCAGTTTCTACAGAAATATGAAGCAGCACGACGTGATTTTTTTCTCATTCTATATATTTCATTATGTTCAATTCACTGTTTTGAGTAATAAAATATGATACAATAATGTGCATAAACTATTTAGTCTATACCACCCATCTCTATACACCAGCTCTTCAACAGACATGAATACTGTTCAATAATTGCATATTCAATTGACCAAAAGTGAGAGTAAAGACATTTATAATGCAGATAAATGTTTCTATTCATCAAAGAATCCTGAAAAATAAAACGCATCACAGTTTCAACATTGATAATAATTATAAATGTTTCTTGATCATCAGATCATCATATTAGAGTGATTTGTGAAGGGTCATGTGACACTGAAGACTGGAGTAATGATGCTTTGATCACAGGAATAAATTACACTTTACTGTATATTCACATAGAAAACTGATGATTTACATTATAAAAATATTTCTAAATTTTGACTGTATTTTTTCATGTTTTATAGTCAGTTTTTTTTTGTTTTTTACAATTTTGCTAATCCTGGTATTTATTGCATTCGTCTTGATTGTACAGCAGTTTGGTACAACATTTGTTGTTTTTAATTGTGCTTAAACTTTATTGCTTATTAGTGGAGCAACAAGCTTATATTAAACTCAATAGAAACAAAAAAAGATGATGCAGAGAAGATCCCACAAAACTACAGGCGGTTGACGGCTTATTTATTATTATTATTATAAAAAAAAACTGGTCATACTTTATTTTAAGGAGACGTAGTACTCAAATAAGTACTGAGTAATAATAATTAACTACATTTACTTACTATAAAGTTAGGGTTAGTAGTAATTATGCAAAATTTCCTGTCATTACTACGGCACCTTAAAATAAAGTCATACCAAAAAAACTTTGCCAAACACTGTGAACTAGGGCTGTCAGACGATTAATCGCGATTAATCGCGTCCAAAATAAAAGTTTGTGTTTACATAATATATGTGGGTGCACTGTGTATAATTATTTTACATATGTAAATACATACACATGCTTGTAATATATTTAAGAAATATTTTCAGGTATAAACTGCATATATATTTATATATAATTTAGATTATATATAGGCCTAAATATTATATATATAAATAATATTTTTTTCTTAAATATACATGCATGTGTGAGTATTTATACATATATATCTAAAATAATTAATTGTTTGGCAAGTCTTTGTATGTGTGCGAGTAAAATCCGACCTCTGGTGGCCGGCGGCCCGTGACCCGCAGCTTCTTCGCTCTGAATCTTCAGTAAAGTCTTTCTGGCTCCTCCAGAACGGCGGAAGAGAAAAGCCAAAGCAGCGTCATCGAAACAGGCCAGACTGGGAACTATAGTCAGCCAGTTCAGGAAACTCAGATTCCCACTTATGATCAGAACAACCTGTTATTAAAGAGATGTGGAAATTAGGAGTGTGACGATACTGACACGATTCGATACACATCACGATACAGTACTCCAAGACATATGATAAAAGCTGAACAAAAAATGTTGATTAAAATGCTAATTTGATATTACATGTGTGTGTGTGTGTGTAAATGAATAGGTTTGGAGTTGTCTCTGAAACCCAAAGCACAGGACAATAGAGACAATATTCATAATTCTGAAACTGAAAATACAGAATTATTTCATGCTTGCACTCTTTCACTGACTAGATATATTTAACCCTCTGATGGTCTTCCTTTATGAGTCACGTCCTGGGCCTTCCCGGTCAGAAGTGACCGGAGGCCTAAAAATGAAACTTCTTCCATCCCAGTAAAACCAATGCAATTTATTTTTCTTCTATATTATTTATTCTTTTTAATTTAGCATTTTGAGACAATTTTATTGATTTTATTAATATTTATGCAATATTTATGGTCTATTTTTTCAATGGAAATATGTATGTATATTTTTCTATGTATATATTATTTTTTTTAATAAAAATATTAATGCTGTATTTTTGTTCAATATAGAGTCTAGGCCTTCAGAAAAAAAATATTTTTTGAAGAAAATTAGCACCATCTGGTTACAGTACAGAGAAAAAGCGTAGAATCATGTTGTAACCACTAGATGGCATTTGCAGCTCTCTATGTAGAGGCGTTTGAATTCCCCAGATGTTTATGAACACATTTTTTTTTGTTTTTTTTGGTGGATTTGAATATATAATTGAAACAATCTCAAAAACTATTTCTTATTAAAAAATGTGTAAAAAAAAATTTAAATGTGAATTTTTGTGTTTTTGTCAATTTCCCATTCATTTCCTATGGGGGTCATTTTTGACCAAAGACCAAAATCGTGGCTAATTTTTTTACGAGCACTTAGCATGCTCGGATCATGAACTCAATTTTTTTGTGTGTTCACATGCCTAATGCCAGAAATGTCACCAGGTTTCGTAAAATTCAGATGAAGATGTGATTTTTAAAAATTCAAAACAGATTTTTTGTAGTCTGAATTTATTGGTGTATATGTGTATAAAAGTGTGTTTGTATGTGTGTGTGTGTGGGTGGGTGTAAATTTTTTGCACTCTTGATGCTGTAGAGTATCACCCCTTTATTACGGTAGACTTCTTTTATGAATTGTGGCCGATTTGTAGATTGTACAACCAAAAATTCAGAGAATTTTTGTTTTTTTGTAAATTTCCCATTCATTTCCTATGGGTCGGTCATTTCTGTGACTATTTTTTTTACGACCACTTAGCATGCTCGGATCATGACTTCAATTTTTTTGTGTGTTCACATACCTAATGCCAGAAATGTCACCAAGTTTCGTAACATTCAGATGAAGCTGTGATTTTTAATAATTCAAAACAGAAAATTATTCGGTCAGAAGTGACCGAGGACCATCAGAGGGTTAAAATAATGTCGGCAACTTATTACTGGTAACATCAGACATTTGGCATTATCAGGACCCACAAATATTCATCATTACACATTATATTCAACATTATATGCAGCAGTTTAATGTAGTACTGACACGAATCAACTTGAATTTTTTCGTGCACAGTAATTTCCATTTTGAGTGAACTATACACGATACATATTGATGCATTTTTGTATTGCGATATATTGTGACACAGCCCTGATGAATGAATGAAAACAAACCTCTAGTCAGTGAGCCAGTGATGCCACTAGATGGCGACAAAGTTGTGATGAACTCCCTTCCAGAGGAGCAAACTGCTCTGAAATCATCTGGGAAATATGAAATATTGAAATATGAAACCGGCCTGGAAGAGGATCTGCAGGACGCCGTTGACCAGACACATCCGGCGGCCCATGAAGGTGAAGAAGGGCACGACGAGCTCGATGAAGTGATTGCTGAGAGTCTCGAAGCGATGGATCCACCAGGGCGAATGATGCATGTAATAGGACACGGGGTTCGGGACCGGCTGCGTCTGACAGAGAGAGAGAGAGACAGATTATATATGATGGCGAGTTTACAGTAGTCAGGATCCCTACAGGGAACATCATTTGGCTGCAGAAAAGTCTTGCAACATCATGCAATACATCAGTTATACCCATTAAAAAATATATAAATATATATATATATACATATACATTATAAAAAAAATAAAAAAATATATATATGTAATATAATAATAACACATAGAGCCCGACCGATAAAGGATTTTGAAGGCCGATAACGGTACAAATATTTTTGGGTTTTAAAATCCGATATTCCGATATATCGGCCAATATATATATTTTTTATTAAATATTGTTGGATTTCACACACATGTAAAAGAAAAGCTAACTTTTCTGCACAAGATACGTTTGATACTTTTTCTCTATGTCTAAATGTTCACTCCTCGCAAGTATAACTTACATTTTACAATGCAGGGACTGTAACTAGAGATATGCTAGTTATAAATACGGTAATAATTACTTTATTTAGGCAGAAAAAGTTCATTTCCAAGCTCATTAATGTTAACGTTAGCTGTCTTCCACTGATGATATTGGCATTAGCTAGCTTTGTGGTTAGCTAGTCTATGATGAGCCATAATTTAGCAATAGATAACATCATACTGCAAATTGTAAAACATACATTTTCAATATAACAGGCCAAGGAGAGATGATTAAAGCGTGTTTCGTCCGTTTTTATTTTATTTTTTAAATATTAATTTATCGGCCATTATAACTGCCGATACCGATATTATGGAAAATGCCTAATATCGGCCGATAATATCGGTCAGGCTCTGATAACACAACATAATAAATACACAATAAATATTTTCAGATGAATATATATATATATATATACACAGTAGTGGTGTAACGATTACCAAAATTCACGGTTCGGTTCGGTTCGATACAGTGGTGTCACATTAGGTACGTTTTCGAAACAGCAAAAAACATAGAATTGCCAATAAAAAATATCCTTGATTTTTAAAAATAATAATAATAATAATAATTACGAAAAAAAAAACACTTTTTCCTTCATCTTTAAACTTTTAGTTTTATAAATGGGGGTAATCTTTGAAGGTTGAACAAATAATGTTTTGGTCATCATCACATTAAAAATAACATTTAAATATGACAATATTTGAGTTTTGAAGTGCTGGAAAAAGATGTGTGTGACGTACTTGAAAAACATAATTCAGTGTTACTACAGTAAACCCATGGTGAGCGTCGCTGATGTGTGGACTGGTTCATTCATGGCACGATGTTTCTCCCGGTTTGCACGTCTGCGCTGTTTGATCCGTTAATAACGGAGAAATCCCTACGAAAAACTACAGAATCCCCTAAAACGCTATACTACATCCCATACTACTGCGATTAATATAATGATAATGATAATAAACGCTGATTTGGACGGGACTGCAGTGCATTAATGTCCTCTTGAGGCAGAGGAACGGTGACGTCTGACTGCGGATAACTCTTCCGCTCAAACCGATCCACTTTAAAGGGTTTTTTGAGTGTTGCTTAAAACAGCCGTGGTGTTTGAGCTCAAACCCGAGGTTTATTTGAAAGCTTTTCTGGCAGTGAATGAGGAGGAGTTTGAGTTAATGGAGCTCGCGTCTGACGGAGGCATCTGACACTAATAACACACTCACAGGTGGCAGAACATGAGCTGTGTGTGTGTGTGTGTCTGTGTGAGTGTGTGTATGGCAAGCCGTTTTAGCTTTTATTCATTTCCAGGATATGAATTCCTGATATCAACAATTACATTCTTGATATCTACAATTGTATTTTCACTAGTGAAACGTCCCCATAGGCTGCCATTCAAAACCAATTGTTGATCTCAAGAATTGATTTCTTACTAGTTGAAATACCAATTTCACATATCAGAAATACAATTATTACTAGTAAAAACCTTTATTTTTGATATCAAGAATTCAATTGTTACTAGTTGAAATGTCTATTCTTGATATCCACAATTGAATTAGTAACAATGTTAATTTTTGATATCAATATTTCAATTTTTACTAGTGACAATTTTAATTTCTGATATCATGAATGTGATTGTTACTAGTAAGAAAGTCATTTTAGATATCTGAAATATTATTGATATCAGAAATACATTTTCAGATATCAAAAATGATCATTTTTACTAGTAACAATTGAATTGTTGATTTCAAGAATAGACATTTCAACTAGTGACATTTTAATTATTGATATCAGGAATTCACATTTTTACTAGTAACAATGTAATATCAAAAATTATGAATTTCTACTAGTAAGAAATCAATTCTTGATATCAACAATTTATTTTGAATGGCAGCCTATGGTGACATTTCACTAGTGAAAATACAATTACAGATATCAGCAATTAAATTGTTGATATCAAGAATTACATTTTTGATATCAATAATTAAATTGTTGATATCAATAATTAAATTGTTGATATCAAAAAATGTAATTGCTGATATCAATAATTCATATCCTGGAAATGAATAAAAGCTAAAACGGCTTGCCATATGAGTGTGTGTATTAACAATGTTTAAAGCAGATTACTGAATTACATTCCTTCCTGAAATAAAATAATCAAATATGAACTGAAATTCTCATTTTATTTTTACCTCCGGTTTAAAGTTGAGCTTCATTCATTCATACACACTGCAAAAAAAGATTTTCTACCTCAGTGTGTTTGTCTTGTGGCCAGTACAAATATCTGAACAAGACAAAATATCTGCCAATAGGGAAAGAAACATGAAAACTCAATTCAAAGGGAAAACACATGTATTTTTCTGACCCCAGTGGCAGATGTTTTTTCTTGTTTTCAGCAAAAACCCACTTAATTTTGATTATATTTGTTCAGAACAGCTCAAATAAATATCTTAATATGAGAAAATATATATTTTTTTTAGCAGAAGAGCATGAAGCTCGCGACACCAAGCTCACGGGTTCGATTCCCAGCGAACGCATGAACTGATAAAACGCCTTTCTTCAATGCAATGACAGTTGCTCCGGATAAAAGCATCTAGCAAAATGCATAAATGTATTCAGTATGTGATGAAAAAACTCATATTCGAGCTGGACTTGAAAAACGGGTTCCTGGAAAGACTTTGTGATTGTGCTCCACTACACTGAAGTTTAGGCAATTTAAACATATTATATTAAACATATTACTATTCCACTTCCAAGGTATCTGCTGGATCGTGCATAAACAAGGATTTGAGCTAATAAAACATAACTATGCAAGGTCTTATACCTGTTAAAGCTCCTATGAGAATAAAAAACCTGAGCCCAGCATAGCAAAAAATAATAATAATAATGAACTGGGGACTCCCTTATGGGATTAATACAATATAATTCGTCATCACTTCCTGTGAGCTTGCCAAACTGAAAAACAGAAGTGAGATGGGAAAAACTGGGGTTCTGCCCAGTCGCTGTTCAGAAATTAAAAACTCGAGAAACGGAGAGACCCGAGAAACTTATGAATCTATACGTCTGAAAGTGACCAAAACACACAACGCTTGTGTGAAAACACGCTCAACTAGAGTTTACGTGACAAGTTATGATTGAAAAACCAGTTGTGTTTCTAATTGGGAACCAGCCTGGTTTCATACGGACATAAATCCTCCGGCTTATTACAATGTTCAGTTGTAGCCCTAAAACAGGAGCGCAAATTAGTTCCATACACCGTTAACTCAGCCGTTAAATTCCTGTGTGTGTTTGAGACATTAGCATTTCTGGACTTTCTTTAAGCCGAAACGCCACCGCAAACACATGAACGTGTCCCATTATACATATAAATACTCCATGCATAAAAAGTAACGTAAAAGTGTATATAATCTCATTATGTAAAGCACAATGTTCTAAAAAGAATGATAAATACACTAAAACTAATCAAAAGCAAAACACAAAGACAATAACAAAGGACTTCTAGAGATACCAGTTCTTACAATCCAGCTTTTAATGTTGTTTATGTAGATTTTTAATACGCTTAAACCGTGTGTAAATTCAAAAGTCGAGTATTTTCTGCTTAAAACTGCAGTGAACGACCTTGTAACCAATCACAAACCACCTTATAACCAATCAGATCAGCGTGTGATCGTCGACCAGTGGATCTCTGAGCTAAGTGAGTGGAGGTGGGGCTCATTTGCATATTCATAGAACCGCGCATACTAAATGAGGCAAGGGTTTCGAGTTACGTTCAAGATATTTTAAGACATGAAGACATTTTTTTGAAGGACGACACGCCTTAATATGTCGTTTTGGTGATCAAAGAGGAGTTTTAGGGGATAAAGTGATTGTCTACAGAGAGACTTTAAGCCAGTGTAAAGATATTAAACAGGAGTTATATGTTGGCATTTTGGACCATTTGTAATCTAGATATGGAAGAACACTTTATTCCCAAATCAGGGTTCCTACAGGTTTCTTCAAGTTAAATTCAAGTCTTTTTAAGACCTTTTTAAGACCATTTATATAAAAAATTAATACCAATTTCCCATCCCTACCAGCAAAGAAAAACAAAATCGTTCAACTTGTGTTCATTAATTTTTCAAATGTGGAATGGGTAAAAGATGATAAGTCAAGCAGGTAAAATAATGTTAATGTTAAGCTGTGTTTTAACATTAGCTAAACACACACAGGACATCAGTTCTGACTGGATCGCTTCCCAGATCGACACTAACATTTTCATCTAGGTTTTTTTTTTTCGTTGACGAAAATGTCAATAGATTTTCGTCATTGTTTTTGTCATTCAAAACTAGCGTCTCGTTTTCGTCAGTGAAAAAATGTCGTTGAAGAAAGGTTTATCATTATTTTCGTCAATGAAATTAACACTGGCATACAGCACAATTTTTAAGACCCAGATATCAAAATTCAAGACTTTTTAAAGACTTTTAAAGGTATTATTTCCAAATTCATAAATTCAATGCTTTTAAGGCTTTTTAAGACCCTGTAGGAACCCTGCAAATACAGGGAGCTACAATAGTCTACACTCTTACAA